GGGCCTGTTTGATGCAACTATATTGGGGTTTCTGACACTAAAAACATACATGCCAATTAAAAAACCCCAAAATAAGGCTCTCAATCTGCACAGTTTCTTAGCAGGATCCAGCAGCCAGCTGCATGTGCACAACACATTAGGTGCACACCATTTAATATTCTATAAATCATGAGACTGTATCCCTTGAATAAATTCAGTGACAGAAAGAAACTTCTAAGAATTAATCTAAAGTTCAAAGACGAGTATTAATGTTATTAAGATTATCCAAAATGTCACAAAATAATTTGTAAGCTTTTGAAATTCTTCATTAAACTGGATGTTAAACTAAAGGGATTAGAGGAGGAGGAGGAGGAGGAGGAGGAACAAAGGGATTAGAGGAGGAGGAGGAGGAAAGCTCCTGAGAAAGCTCCTGAGAAATCTATATGTGGGACAGGAAGCAACAGTTAAAACTGAAGATGGAACAACTGATAGGTTCAAAATTGGGAATGAGTACGACAAGGCTGTATATTTCCACCCTGCTTATTTAACTTATATGCAGAATACATCATGCGGAAGGCTGGACTGGAGGAATCCCAAACCGGAATTAAGATTGCCGGAAGAAATATCAACAACCTCCGATATGCAGATGATACCACTCTGATGGCAGAAAGTGAGGAGGAATTAAAGAACCTCTTAATGAGAGTGAAAGAGGGGAGCGCAATAAATGTCCTGAAGCTCAACATAAAAAAAACTAAGATCATGACCACTGGTCCCATCAACTCCTGCAAACAGAAGGGGAAGATATGGAGGCAGTGACAGTGACAGATAGCATGTAAGATGAGACAGCAGATTTCCAAATTAGAATCTATAGAGTGCTATGATGATTTCAGGTTGCACCACCCATTACACTTAGAATTGCTGGCAAGGTGACATTAAATAGTTGATGCAGACATACAATTTTTTCAGCAATTATCCAGACCATTTATCCACTCTTACTTGTGTGTCCACTAAAACGTCAGTTTTCTCTTCCTCTGAAAATAAAATTATTGTTACTGAGCTTCCAAAACGCATTTGTGTGTGTTTAATGCAAACGTTTCTTTAATTTTTCAGTTAAAGTGGGCCCATCAAGTTTATAATAAAACTAGATATAAATATCTGCAAAGAAGAGGAAAACTGCCTACCATTTCAGACAAATCCATTGCAATGTTTCGTGTCATCAGTACAGAATATGGGAAAAGAAAGGAAGTTACTGTCACATTTAAAAAATAGTTTGAAATGCCTCCTACCATGTACTCCTTCTCCTTACTGAAATATGGGAAAACATGTTTATAATTGCCTCTACCAACAGAATTATTGAAAGTGAGCTTTCAAAATGCAAGAAGTTTTCAACCACAATTATTTTCTGGTTATACTATAATGAAGTCTCACTACCTGCACTGTAAACTAATGGAATATTTGTTATCTGTTTAAAAACATGAAACAGCCAAGTGTTGTTGTTTTTTAATCTATAAATGGGCTTTGGTTTGCATAACCATAGCAACCACAATAAGGAAATTCTCCAGTGTTTATTAAATATGAAAAGTATACTAAAGTACAATTACTTGAATTAAAAATAAAAGGTTATCCATTCTACCTAGGGTACATTGGTTTAAGTAAGTGAGCTAAAAGATCTGTTTAAATTACAGATTTGAATCCATTTCTTCCCTTTTTGTTCTACAGTTCTAGAAAAAAAATGTGTTAGTTGTTGCCAAAAAAAACAACAACCCAACAACACCAAATGTACTGATTTGCAACTAAACAGAAGCTTCCATCCAGACTTACTTAGAGTAAATGTATTGAGTTTTAAGAGTATATTCTAGCTATGTCTGAGTCTGGAATCAGCCTGTACTCTTTATATCTATATTATCTAGAAGATTTGCCTTTTACATTTCAGAGTTGTACCTGTTTACAGGCAAAAAGGCTAGTACGAAATTAATTTCTGACTATGTGTACAAATTCAAGACAGAAAGGACAACAAATACTGTATTTTTTTGAATCATGTGACTAATTCCATTATCTGAAGGGGAACTAGGCCTAAACAGAGGGACTAATTGAAAGATTTGGGTTTATTTCCCTGTTCCAAACAACATCCTTCCATGCTCCTGTGACAGGGTGAACGTTACCAGGTAGCCAGAATGCTCATGGCAAGCCATTGTGCCCCTTCAAGATGGCTGATGAGAGAGCTTAGCCAAGGGAAAAGGCTAAGGCACAGAGAAAGAGGGAGAGAAGACAGGTAAAGAAGGTGTAGCAACTTAATGAGGAACACCTGCCTACGATTGCCAAGAGCCAGGTAAAAGGGAGCAAAGACTGGGCTCAGGGAGGCTGCTGGTCAACAGAAGAAGGAACCTGGGTTGATGCTCAGGAGGAGCTGCTGCCACCCAAGGGAGCCAGAAGGGCTATGTCATGTTCTTCCACCCAAAGGACCACTGATGATCAACAGTGGAGCATCCCTCCAGTTGTCACCCTGGAAACGGGGGGTGGGTGGGTGGAAGGAAAGGGATGCGCAGCCAGTATCCATACCCAGGACAATACAAACTCTCTTTAAGCTGGCCAAAGTCTCATGTTGAGGGACCTGAACTATGGGGACTCTCAGTGAAGGTAACTGGGGATCCTATTGAGGGAGAGGGTGCCTAAGGACTGATATATGCCCCTCAACCAGCTTCCTCCAAGGCTGCAGGGATTCTGAAAAGCTATAATACAAATGTGCATATGTTTACACCCTGAAGTAGAGCCTGGGGAGTTTCTGCCAGGAAACTCAGCTGTAGCCAGCTCTGCAGTGCCGAAGGCTGGCCATGCCCACAGCCCCTGAAAGCAATAGTTCTCTCCCTGATCACTCTTTCAAAGAACCCAAGTCCCACTATGACAGAAACAAAAAGCTCACTCCTACCATGATGAGCATTGAATGTTTACAGCTATTAGGTTATGTTTATTGTTTGCAGTAAGTTTTAAAAGTTTTTTAAATGCTGTAAAAGAGAAACACAAATGTAATTCTTCTTGTCAATTAAATATTTAATAGTATTTGTGGATTTACTGCTACAGTCACTCTAAAAATGAAAAATGTGGTGGTATTATTGGAAACAAACTTCATCGTTCTGATTAGCAACTATGATTAGTAAACAAGACACCATTTGTATTTCTCCTAATCACATGCCAAATCAGGCAACTGCTATGCAACAGAGAACACCAGCAGTGACTTGTTAACAAGGGGTAATTTGCCACTGTGAATTACTACACCACTGCATTTATGCTGGTACAAATAACCAATAGGATCCTGGCCAATAATCCCACAATGACAAGTTACAGTATTAAAAACCCTGCTTCCCACTGGTAGTGCATGTTGGAGAAGCACTGAGATGACAAATTATTTCAGATTCAATAATGGACTGGAGGAAGGCTAATAAGTGGAGATTAAATCCCAACATGGGATAGAGGTTCATTCCCTTGAGACAGAAAATCCATAACCTGGAAGTATAGTCCTGTACCCACTTGAGGCTCAGATGGCCTTGACATCTTCAGATAGTTTGCCCGTTATGATTACTTGACAAGAACAGCTTGGCCACAGTATTTCATGCTTAGCTGGCTTCCCAATTGTTGTCTATGGGGCTGCCCTTCAGGATAACCTAGAATTTTTAGGTGATGCAGAATGCAGCAGCTGGAATTATAACTAATACAAGAAGGCAGAATAATAACATCAGTTTGGAAGACTGTCTGCCTGTTTGCTTCCAGTTCAAGATGCTAGACTTTACCTTGAAGTGTTTTGGGACCGAAATATCTATAACAGCATGTCCCAAACAGCTTGAGACAATCAGGAGTAGCTCTAGTCAGGATTTCTTGCCATCCTCAAGATACCTCAAGGGAAAGAGCTTTATCTTGGCCCCCTTAATAGAAAATACTCTCCCAAAGATATGTAATTGCCTCCGACATTGAAAACATCTTGATGTCAACTTAGAAATCTCTTGACCTATCAGGGCACTTCAATCACTTTTTCTGTCTCTTCCATAGTGTATTTGGTGCCCTCTCTCATTTTAATAATCATGATGTGGTCCTGACGGTTTCTTCACTATTTTTACATAGCAATGTAATCGTATGTCTACACTGCAATGGTGTCTACATCAGGCAGTTTTAAAATGTCCTAGTAAGACACCAAGAAGCATGTCAAAGATTGTCTGCATATGTATGGGAGAAGCTGTTCCATGATAAATGTTTTATTCCTTAAAATCTACTGCTGGAACTTCAGCTCTCTGCATGGGCTTAAGCAGCCCAGAATTTTTCAAAATAAAGTGATGATCACTATTGAACACTTCTGCTGGAGAACCAAATCCTGCCACTTGATATTATGAACCACATTCTAAAATGTAATGATATTTAGTATTTGGGACTTAAAATCACAGGCTATCAATGAAACTAGACAAAATGGTTTTCCTGAAAAGTGTATGCTAATCTGTAGAAAAATGTATATTTTCAGGCTAATGTGACACCTTCAAACACACTACCCTAATATAAGGCCTTAATGTAAAGAACATAAAAAGTAGAGTGCTTTGTTTTCTCTCTCAATTACTGGAGGATTTTCATCCTGCAAAAGTTGTAATGACATCAGATAGATGAAGGCTTGCAGGCAAACAAGTTATTTGCAGTCTGCAACACTGAGCACAGCTGACAGCTCTGCAGAAAAGCTCTGCAGATGCATTCTCAAACTACATGTAAATATTATTATTTTAAAAGTATTGTTTTATAGACTATCCTTCACGACTACTAGCTTTGATCAGATGATTCACGTATGATGAATTATTCTTATAGAAGCCTTTAAAATTACCTTTAAAAATTCACTTCTGCATCATTTTCATCCACGTTTCTTCTACTCTATAGAACCTAAAGGCTAGCAAGATACAACCCAGTTCCTTGTTTTTGCTGAAAATGAATATTTTTAATGACTAGAAGCATTCTTCATTAACTGTTTTTGATGAATAAAGAGGATATCTTCCTTTATGTCAAAGTTCATTTATTTTACAGACAAAAAATATACATCATTTATTTTTTTAAATTTCTATTCCAGTATCACACAGCATCCATAGTATGTTCACACCCACACAAACATTTGTCTACGCATGGACCATACTGTGCGATGGACATGGAGACATATTTTTATATACATTAAAAATTACAATGCTTGGAAGCCAGAGTTAGTGCAGATACTCCTCAGTGGCAGAACACAAACATGGGTTTTACAAAAAAAGGTGCTTAACATTTTGTTGAAAAGGGGACACCAAGATGAGAATTCCACAATGAAAGAACTGATCACTGATTGGTTGGCATTTGACATACAGCACTCTTAGCATATAGTAATCCAAATTCAGATTTACCCTGATTCAAGCCCCCAGAGGAATCTATCTTCATATTCAGTATTTATTGCATCTACCCCAGAATTGAAAACAATTGAATTCTCCAACCAGCTGTCCTTCTCATGTTGAACTACACCTTATATAACCCCCAGCAGCATGGCTATTGGCCTAACTGGCTGCAAATTACAGAAGCTGTAGCTCAACATATCTCAAGACAACCCTGTTGGGGAAAGCTGTCTTGTTGTCAAGGTTGTCCGAGCTGGATAGCTGAAAGAATCTAATTACTAAGCAGAATCTGCTATCATTCCAGCTAAGACAGGAGTGTGAAGAGAGAAACAATTTGAATAAATCTCGTATGAAATCACTGCCATCCAACCTTATGCACCACATCCAATGGGTAGAGCCCTCTCTGCCTTTCACAGGATACAATGAAGCTAAGACGCTATAAAAAGGATCCGGAGTAGTCTTACAATAGCCTGGATAACTGTCATTGGACAGTTGACATAGTAAATGAATGCCCCTTTACTGGTTCTGTTTTATAGCACCCTGTATATCTGTATGTGTGCCGCTGTGAGCTGCAGAGGTTCTGCCAGGACACCCACAGCCAGCACCATAAGTGTTAAGGAAGTGTATCCTAAACAGTACGTACGTCACCTTGCCACAGAGGAGAATGCTGCTAACAGCAGCAAGTCTGCATGAATTATGGTGGTAGCACATTCAAATAATCAGAAAGGCTAATTTAGACAGTAGCAAACTAAAGGCCAAGTGCTGATCACTGCAACATTTCTGCTGATTTGCATCGACAATTCATCAACAACTCAGATATCATAAAAGTGTTTTTTTTAAAAGTACTTTAAAAATCTGAAAATGAACACAATGCTTTTGCCCTTTCAAACCTGGCATGGCTTGGCAGGACTTTCAGGCCATAACAAGGAAAGGATGCTTGGTGCTGAGGACAAGAGAGGCATTTTATTCCTGCTTGCTCCTATATTCCAGGGAAATTTACTTAAAAGAACATCCTGCCGATTTTAGTAGCCCACAGCACATTTGGCACTGAATCAATCCCAAAACAGCAACAGCAAGAAAGAAGCCTCTATGTGTTCTTGCTTTTTTCCCCAATATCTGCCTATCTGCAAGTTTAAATTCAATCAATTGCAACTTCATTCACCTCCTATCCACACACTCCCATGTAAACAATGGACACAAAAGTTATGTGTCCCCAGTTCTGCATTTTTTCACTTACTTTGACAGCGAGAGAGCATTGAATGAGACATAAGCTATGCCAGAGCTTAACAAACTCACTTTTCTGAACTATAATTTATGGAATCCCTCAGCTAGATGCCACTAGCTCCAGAGTCTAAAGATGTGCTAGCTGGGGGATTCTGGGAACTGTAGTCCAAAAATTTAACATTTCCTAACTCTGGCCATCCACACAATATACTTACATTTGATAAGCAGAGGTCTATTGTTTAAACATAATTTTCCCTCTCTTATCTTTGTAAGTTGGTGGCGATTCCTGTATTACCGCTTTCTCTTATAAAGAACACAGCTATCATTACTACTTAAATTTAAGGGTCCTTCACTCAGTATGGTACGGACAAGCTTCAGAGAGCTCCGAAGAGCAGCTACTGGCACCTCTGTCAAGAGGACTGCTAGTCGTGCGGCAGCATATGTTTTAGAAAAGGCAGGTTAACATGTCTTTCCCTTCAGAAGAAATAAATGAACCCCATGCTGAGTTCACAGGGAAGTAATCTCATCTGTAAGGCATGCTGGACAGAATTAGAAAGAGCCCAGACCCTAAAACTAAGCACTCACGAGCCACCGAACACCCTGCTTCGGCCTAGACATCTAAGTAATCAGAAGCATGTATTCTCCTCAGGTGCCATCACTCACAATATCTCACACACAGGTTACCAAAATGTTTACTGGCCTTTGGCCTTTCCAATCCAGCATGTTTTTGAGCTGTACATTTCCACTTACTCTCTTAGTCCCATTTTCTCTTCAGGTCTCTTAGCATCACATAGCAGAGCATCATTCTGCAAGTCTTGCTTGGCCATGCTTTTGTTCCAAAAACATAGTCCTTATACAGTATATGAAACTCACAGCAGCATGACAACCTGTCATAGTAATTTAGTTGCACAGCAACAAGATCCACAGAGAACCTTCCCTGGTAGCAACTTTCCTTCCTCCTTTACCATAGTACATACATACATATGTACATATGTACGTACATACATACATATGCATGCACGTGCACGGGGAGTTGGGTCTCAGCTTCCCTGTGAGAAATTCATAGACTATTTCACAATTCATTCTTAAGTGCTCTTTCCACCAAAAATGTTTAGCGTTTTCTCACCTTACAGTTCCTAATAAATCTGCAGTTGCCCAAGAACTCGGAAAGACTCTGTTTCTCCCAGCGTTTTCTTCTAGCAACATTTCTGTCGGGAGCTTAGGCTTGTCAAGAACATGAACAGTGAGAAATATTAAGCCTTTAAAAAACAGTCTGTAAATGCTGCATCCAACCTTATGCACTGATTGTTATACTATGTGCTCTGCAGAACAGCCCCAACTTCCTGGCTGCTGATGGGTTTTATCACCAATAAAAGGTTGCAGTCACATCCATCCATGTGCATCTGGAATGCACAGGAGTACAAAGGTTCAGCATTTAAACCCTTCTGAAATAATGCTTTACTTTCTCATGAAGATTAAGTGCTATCCTTTTAGGAAGACCCACTGCTGATTCTATGTTTCATATGGAATTTAAATATTTTAAAAAAACCAACAGAAGGGAAAGAGATAAGATGGCACATTGTAGAGTTCCAAAGGGAAATGTGTGACGGAGAAGAGCTGCCCTTTTAAAGGGAACCACATTCGCTTTATGAATTGATGGCTTTCCAACGGTCACTGTCAATACTGTTGATGCTGCCCACATGATAGGGCATGGAAGCCACATCATCCAAGTATGCTGCTGTGTCAATCTGGGTGCTGGAGTAGAAGCTGGAATCGAGGCCTTCTTTCTTGGCCACACCATAGGCATGCGGGAGGTGCACGTCCACATCCTCAGGCTCATCCACTTGGCATTTATAGGAGAAAAGGATCTTTGGCTCAGACCTGGAATTGTGAAAAGAAGAAAAGGGGAAAAGAAAATGTGTCTGCAGGCTATACATATCTGAGCACAGAAATGTGTTCTAAGACAAAGGGTCTGCATAGCACAAGGTGGACATTTGTTGAAATAAGAAGCAATTGACCACATTGCTCTTTGACTCCAAGTCAAAGGCTTCAAGAAGAATGCAGAACTCAGCGTAGCCCAGGTTACCAGGGTTCATTTATTTGTTATCCATAATTGCCTCTTCCTGTTGTTGTCTCCCCCTTCTCCAATCTGGTGCTCTCCTGGAATATCTGAAGTACTGTACCATGATCCCTGGCCCATGGAGCCTACATTCTGGAAGCTCCCTATCTTTGCTTTAAAACATCCCATTTCAAAACTGCAGGAATTTTCACTAAGGTTGAAACCTTTTACCTAGGCGTTAATGGTATAATGGAGCCCGGTCTCGCAGGGTCGAACCCCTTTCTATCTACTAGGCACTATGGCATCAACCACACACACTCTACACCTCTGAATGGAGCTGCAGTCCTTGGAGCAGCTGGAGCTAAATAAGATTTTCCTAGGAGGAGCATATTGTTGCAAGCTGGTGGTAGCAGGGTAGTTGTGGCAATAGTCAAGATGCTTTGCATGTACCAAATTTAAAACTACACCACTGCTGAAAGTAATTCTCATGGGATTCAATTGGATTTACTTTTGAATACATGCCTTCACTCTAAAAAACATATTGTTACAGAGCAACCACTTCAGCACCTGCAGATATTGTTCATTATACCAGAATCATTAGATACTTTTGATTTAGGTAAGTCGGTTTACTTTAGTCCGAATAGCCTCTAACTTACAGTGCTGCCCTGCGTGTACAATGGTTAACAATGCAAAAGGTAACTCCCAAAGTGATTGCTATGTACTGTACATTGGCTCACAGAACTCAATCCACCCAAAGTAAGAAAATCATTTTTAGTTACTACCAATTTTCATAAAATATATATAAAAATCTCCCATTAAGGGGAAAACAAATAAAGCAAACCCTTGCGCGCATCTCTAGTATATGACAGAATTGGAAAACATGAAGCTATCAAAGTATTGGTGGACTCCAACCCCTATACGCTTCAGATAGCACATCCTATGGTCATTAAAAGTTTCAGTACAACCACATGTGGCTCCCAGTACATGGTCGGTGTATTATAATATTTCTCTCAAGCAGTTATGTATCCAGCTTATTTCCCCTAAATTCAAGATGCCAGGCACAGCAATATTTGAAGAAATGCTCAAAACCCAAATTAAAAGAACAATCAACAATAATAAGCTTCCACTAGGTGGCCAACACCCTAAAGCAATACACAGCGATCTGATGGATAAGACTCCTGGGGTTTTTTAATTTAAGCCAAAAGTTCTTAAGGCTCTGCCAGAAAGTGGCTTTCTATTTATTTTGTCAAGGACATCAGTGTTCAACTGAAAACAACACAAGAAGTAGACTTCTCCTGAAACCCTCACTATACAACATGACCATTTGAAGAAGACACGGCTCCTGCACTTTTAATAGCTGGGCAGAAGATTGTATTTTTCGACACTAGTACAGGCTCAGATGCCCTTTTGCCATGTGTCCCTGGCTACCTTCACATCTCACTCGATTAACCTTGCAATATCCGCAGCAGCCTTCCAATTCCTCGTATTGTTCCCCTGCATTACACTACAACTTTCTGGAACCTCCCAAGCCCAGAGCAAGTGGCTCCACCCTCATAGCTAACCAAAGCATTGTGAGAGAGACAGCTGCACACATCTAGAGAGACTCAGGTTTCAGAACGCTGCTGTTCAACATATGCAACATATTTTTCTCATGCAAAGCAGGCATGAACAAGCATTGGACACACCTGATGAAAGAGGGCAAAAGAGGCATTGTAGGGGAAGACACTGAAATAATTAGACATCACCTCAGTCCAGAATGCCAACTAAATCATTTCCAGCAAGTGTTCTGCAATTATTTTTCCAGGTGGCCACATGGCGGCACTATCAACCTAGTAATTTGACAGACAAAACTCCTTTATTTAATTACTCCTTTAAAGAGAGGAGTGTCTGACCTGGACATTTAGAAATTTACTTTCCCGCTGACCATGTAAGCTTAAAATTCAAGAGGAAAAAGCACAACTGCCTTACTACAACTGATATTAATCATTTTGTCACTAATCCAGAGAAAAAATTATCAGCAGTTCAGAATTTAATGAGGCTTCACACAGGCATTAAGAATTTAATCTTCCCGAATCCCTGTGATGAAGTCAAATGCCATCTCCATTTCACAGATGGAGGAGCAGATCCACTGAACAGAATGAAATAATACAAAAACAGAAAGAGAATGTGTGAAAAATATATGAATTTTCTTGAAAATCCCATACTAGACAATCCTCTTCAACCTCTTCCTGGTAGTAGCATTTAACCTATTTGTTCAAACAATTCATAAGCCACATCTCACATGCAGGCATACAACTAGACATTTAAAAAAAAAGAGGCACAGACAGAAACAATGATGAATTTAAAAATTAAAACTAAACAGCACCATATGAACAGTGGTAATAGTACAGCTGTTGTGTCATCAAGTTTGACCCGCCTTACAATGACTCTAACAACATTTAAAGGTAAGTGCAATATTAATGAGGAGCTCTACCAGTTCCACACATGTACAATCCAAGTGAGTTTTCGTAGCTGAACAGGTCTCCTGAGTCCTAGTCTGACACTTTATCTACTACAGCAAACCAGGTGTACTTATTTCTAGGAATAAATGTGGCACTGTCATTAGAAGTACACCACCAAAATCTGATAGTGCTTCCAGGACACAACCTTTCCCTTCTGTAATGGAAGGATATACTTTGCTTCCCCATATGTAGCTGTACGGCTTAACAATAGGAAAGGGCACTCTGGAACCACCAAAGTTAGATCCAATTTTTTTTAGAAAGTTTGGCAGCAGCAACTGATTTCCAGTGGCAGCAGTGCATTGTAGCTGAACAGGATTTCGAATCCAGGTCTCCACCACCAAAGTCAGATCCATTTTTTTAAGAAAGTTTGGCAGTAGCAACTGATTTCCAGTGGCAGCAGTGCAGCCCCCCCCCCGGGGTGGGGTTGGTAGGTAGCGTGCAAGAGTCTGTCTGAAAGCTCCCATTGGGGTTGATTCCCACAAGCAGGAGGGCACAGTCTGGAAGGCTCTTCTCTCCCTTTGAACTTATAGGGCCATCTTAATTATGGTCTTATTGAAAAGCCCACACAGGGCATATTTTAATGAACATCTGAACAAAACTATTTAAAGCAAGAAATGATTCTGTCAATATCTCAGTGAAAGGCATAGTGGTGCCTTGCTTAGCGATCACTCCGTTTTACGGCAAAATCGCTTAGCAACACTGTTTTTGTGATCACAAAAGCAATCGCTTTGTGATGTTTCCTATGGGGAAAATTCATTTTGCAATGATCGCGGGAAAGCGATCATCGCAAAGCCCCCATTTTCGGCCAGCTGATCGGCAGTTCCAAAATGGCCACCGGGGGAAAATGGCCGCCTGCTGTTTTGCCTCGCTTTAGAGGCACCGAAAATGGCCACCCCAATGGAGGATTTTCGCATGTTAGTTTCTAAGCCCATAGGAATGCATTAAACGCATTTTAATGCGTTTCTATGGGCTTTTAAAAATCGCTTAGCGATGTTATCGCTTAGCAGCGATTTTTGCTGCACAGATTAACATCGCTAAGCGAGGCACCACTGTCTTATGTTTTCTCAGAGGCCTTTGCTAGTAAAAGCTTAAGTGATTCAATACTTTGGAATGTTCTGCCCGGAGAGGCACACCCAGGGTGCTTTTGATGTCATTTCACTACCAGGCAAAACCCTTTTTTGTTTTCTCAGACATTTTAAATTAAAATAGTCTCTACCCAGTTATTGTTTTGTCTGCTTTCTTCTGGAATGGGTGCTTTTGCATTTTTCAGTTAGGTAGTTTAACTTGATTAATTTTATCTTGAAATTGCTCATAGCTGATGCTGCTGCTTTCATTTTCCCTGGGAACCTGCTGAAAAAGAGGGTTGAGAAATGTCTATAACAAATTTTAGGAACTTGGCGACTTACCCAAAGAAGCTTTTCAGGAATGCTACATAAATGAGTGGAGCAAAGAAGCTGAAGTAGACGAAAGTGGTGGCATCGACACAGCTGCCAAGAGAAAAGAGACAAAGCATTTATAATGTACTGTAATTAAATGACCCTTTGAGAACACACAATATTTTTGCCACAGTTCTATCAGAGTTTGGAAACATGACTTTTTGAAGTACAACTCACAGAATTCCTTACCCTCAACACCTACTGACCATTTCAGCAGGAGGATTCTTGGAACTACCGCCTAAGAATAATTTTCTAAAGCTCTGGGTGCTGTTCGCTCCGGAAGGCCATACCAAGGAAAGATGGGTAAGAAGGTGGCATTTTCAACAGAAACAAGTACAGTGCCTCAGTGTAAAGAACAATTTCCTCTTTCAAAGCCTTTACCACTTCCACAGATGCCTCTCCACCCCCCTACGTTCTATAATTGTACACTGAAAATGCCCTTGGCCCCAAACCACCACATAACTCTCACCTTCAAAGGATATCCGCAAAACTTCTAAGAATGAGTGTCATTACTCACACACTTCAGGGTTATTTGCCACTATTCTGCCGCACAACAGGCATAAAATCACTCAAGTATGTGCTTAGCTCAGAGCTTGGAGGGTGAGGTTTGAAAATTAATTTGTTGGTGCTAAACATTAAAAACAAAGAAATTTTATTTGTTGCTGATGATAATTAAATTTAAAAACTAGATTAGCAGCATTCAGTAATTAAATTACTCATTTTTAAATGAATGGTAGCAATAGTGAAATTGCACAAATCCATCAGTCTGTGTTCTGGGTTGTGCACTGGGCATACCACCAGAAATGTGACTGGCATCTTGTTAATTAGTGACAATTTGCTGCTGCAGCTTAGAACATTTCACTTATCCATACATATGCAAATCATCCATTTGATTCCAAACGGTAAGATTTACAGAGAATGGTGTTGAGATTCTTTGTCACTCCTGACCTAGAGGCATATTTGTATTGGCTCTTTTCTAAAGTGCCCATTTGGTCCCTTTAAAACTGCATTCTTTAATCTGGCACTTCCCCCCCCCCATGAACTACAAATCTTAACAATCCAATTGTTGCCAGGGGATTGTGGGGTCCACCATGTCTGAAACCTAGCCGGCTGTCCTCAATCATGGGATCTCATCTCTCCACTCATCAAGGAAGAAGTCAACTTACACCTCCAGCAGGACTAACTCTATAAAGAACTACTATGTTTAGGCCACTTTTAAAAGAACTTCTTTAGCAGGAAACTCTAATATCTATTCTTTAGAGTACAATTTTAAAGAAAGGCTCCTGAGTCACCTGGCCCTTCTTGCACGGCTATACAGATCACAGCAGCAAATCTTTTACCATATGAGTAGCACATGTAACCTTGCACCCTAAAAGAAGGATCTGAGTAACACAACACCGACAAGCTTTCACAAGACATTATCACAACTAAAAATGCAAGACTTTCCAATCATCCACAGATAATTTAGTCTAGAGCAAAACCAACCTCTGACTTCATATGAAATATTAACCTGGGATGATCCCCATTGGCCTTCATCTAAACAATCTTTCTAAACATTTATAGAAAGATAGTAGTTGTATTAACATTGGTCCAACAAGAACTACAGCCCACTTCATAACATTAAAATAAAACAAACTTCATGGTTATTCTTTAAAAGGACTCTGTTCTGGAGGAAGCATAGAAATGTACATTGTAGATGCAAAAAAAGGTGATGGGGAAGCCCCTGCCTCAATGGTTGGCACATCTTGGCTAAGCAGAATATCAGTCCAAGCAACTGGGTCCAACATGCCTTTTTTCCCCTCTCCCCCCCCTTAAAATGATCAAAAGAAAGCTTGGGGGGGGAGGGGAGACAGGAGGAAAATAAGGTGTAGGAGTTGGGCTACAATTATCTGTTTCAGTTCACAGAACCAGAATCACTCCTTCGTTCACCCATGAGAAGGGAGAATATGGCAGACGATAGGCAACAAGCAGCTATGACCAAAGGAAAGGGAAGATCATCCTCCCAATGAGATGTCAGGAGAAAGACTCTCCACAATAGTGGGCTGAGTAAGAGAGGGAGAGCTTCTATAGCTCACCATTTTGAGGACCCCCAAAAATTACTACTGACTGACACTCCTTTGGCAGAATTAGGTTGAAGTTCTAAGTAAAAAAAATGGTTGAAACTCTACTGGCTGCTTTCCAGCAGGATCCATTTGTTATACCCAGTAAAAAGAAGAGGTCCGGCCATTTTCAGCATACGTACCATAAACCTTCTGTGATACCTGCACAAAGAAGAGCGCTGCCCACACCCTGTATCAGATTCAGCACAGCTAGAATCCCAGCATAGATGTAGAAACTCTTCCTTGCTAAAGTAGAAGAAATAAAAAGACAACGAGACTGATGTTAGATGTGGTGGCGCTGTGGGCTAAACCGCAGAAGCCTGTGCTGCTGAACCCCAAAATAATTAATTATTGACAGCACTTGAGTGCAAACAGAAGACATTCAAAGCTGCCTACAGCAGAACAGTCTCCTTCTATGACCGTTCCATCTAGGTATTATGGAACTTGCATACATGGGCATGGTGTGCCTTACTCTCTTCCTTTCTCCTCCCTTCTGTTATGCCCTGCCTCTTAGATCATAAGACATTAAGGAAAGGATCTACCTGTTTTATTCACAGTATAGAATTTAGTAAAATGTTTAGCTCAAAATAAATATCTGAAAGATTTTAAAGCTACAGTTTTCAATCTGTACTTTACCTTTACCTGATGTTAAATCCAAAGTAACTGCAAGCTGCACTACCACTTGTTTGGTGGAACAATAGAAACTGAACCCCAAAATAATTAATTGTTGACAGCACTTGAGCGCAAACAGAAGACACACAAAGCTGCCTACAGCAGAACAATCTCCTTCTATGACCGTTCCATCTAGGTATTATGGAACTTGCATACATGGGCATGGTGTGCCTTACTCTCTTCCTTTCTCCTCCCTTCTGTTATGCCCTGCCTCTTAGATCATAAGACATTAAGGAAAGGACCTATCTGTTTTATTCACAGTATAGAATTTATGTTTAGCTCAAAATAAATATCTGACAGATTTTAAAGCTACAGTTTTCAATCTGTACCATTAGAACAGATTCCCCGAGGAAAGAAAGAGAAAATCCAAAATGATATATAAATCGCATGGCTGCCTCTTTCATCAGGAATGGTTTTTACAAACATGAAAAGGGACCCCAGGGAAATTCAAAGTACACGTTCCAGTGGAGATTTCAAATTGTGTAACCACATCTACTTCGCTGGGCTTGGGGTGGGGGGAAGAGATAACAGAATCAAGGTATCAGTGGAGGACTGACTGCAAGCCGCCCCCAGTGCTGAAAACCCTAGATATACAATTGCATCTGGTTCCCTCTAGTGGCCAGTTTTGATAATTATATCATGGAAACACGTCCTTCTGTCTTTCTTCTTTTAATATTTTCGGACTGCGGATAAGAGAAACTGTGGATAGTGATCCTATAGATATGGGAATCCTACAGTACTGCAAATGCCAAGGAAGGTGCTCCCAGCACATCCTTATACTCTGCACTTCTCAGTAACATTGGTCTATGAAGATATAATTTTTTTTAAAAAAAAAACTTCTCAAGTGCAGATTGCCAATTAGTCTCAAAGCTGCTTGCTTCAGGCCAAATGCTACTACTTGCCTCAAAGCAGATGGTCACATGGCTGTACCTCACTTTCTTGAGCTGGAAAATGCTTCTACTCAATGGATCCACTACTACTAAAACTGCTTCAAAAATATTAAAGAAACTTGTATAGATGTATGGATTTTATCTTTATCTTATCATTATCTTATCAGTACCCACTCTCAGACTTTAGAACTCACCACAAAGACATGCTAGGCTCAAACTAATGAATAAATGTTTATTCCGACAAACCTTTGGCATGTGAGTTGTTGAACAGAGTCTAAACATTTGGGTCTTGACTATAGATTTTATTGCTTCATTTTTAATTCACTGAATTTTCTGTTATGATTTAATCCAGTTATATCTTCGAATCTGTATTACTGTTAAGCGCTTCTGCTTCCACTTCCTCAATGACTCTTGAGATCCCTTTCAACTTTATAATTCTAATCTTCTATTATTCTCTTTTGACAGAAAGGAAAGGGCCCAAAGAAATTAATGAAAAGCTTTCTACAAGCAGAGAACTCTATGCCCCCAATGCTGACTTTATACAGCTGCAAAACCTGAAGAACCATATTGGTTTGAAGAGAGGTAGACTACTTACATGGCAGAGAAATACGATCCTTGAGAGGAGTTTTTGGAAGCATCATCACAAATGAATACACCTGTTAAGAAAAAAAACGTGTAGGTGAGTTGACAATGGGGTTGTCAAGTGTGCCTGGAGAATATCCGAGATCCTGCCTTTAGATTTCATGTCTATGCTAATGTAACCCCTATGAAATATTGGTTCAGCCCAAAGTAGTGGGACTAAGGAAGAGTAGGGCTGTGAGTAGAGAACTGAATTAGAAAGGGTGGGAGAGCTGAAGAGGTCGGGGCTGCTGTTGCCACTTAGACTGGGAAGGCCCTTGCCAACTTGGTCTATTTCCTATTGTTTTAAACTTTAAATATTGTCTTTCAATGTTGTAAGCCATCGTGGGTTCTTTTCCAGGGAGAAAGGAGAGATAAAAGTATTTTAAATAAATAAATTAATTAAATATGTTTGTGTTGGAGGGGTGAATCCACATAGTGAATTCATGTATATGCAATTGAACTGATATTTTATTCTAGGGTTTTAAAGACTCTGCATGTGGACCTGATTTCAGTGGTCCCCAACCTTTTCGGAACCACAGACCAGTTGGGGGGGGCGAGGGCACCACCCGTGCTCGTGGGTGGGTGTGGCACACTCCCAGGTGGGTGTGGTGTGCCAGTGCTTGTGCACAGGTGAGCGTGGTGCACGAGCGTGCATGCATGGATGGGCATAGCACATTCGTGGGTGAGTGGGGCACGCACACACTCACGCACGCCCACCCACGAATTCCCCCAAGTACACTGCGCATATGTGCAAGTGTGTCACAACCACCTTGCGCGCATGTGGGGTGGCGGCGGGATATCTGTCTCTGCAGCCCAGTCCTGCAAAGCCCACGGACTGTCACCAGGCCGTGGATCAGGGGTTGGGAACCCCTGTTCTATATTATGGAGACCCAACCCAGATGAGGAAGATATCTTAGATTTCTATCTGAATTTGAATTCAAAGTGACAAACTTTGCAGTTGTACAAGCAACTTCTGTATTGGTGCTGTTGCCAAGGACTTGAGTGCACAAACAGTAGCATTTTGTTGTATTAATTGCTCATCCTGTCTCTTATATAACCATGAATAAGAAATTACTCATTTTGTGAAATAATATTTACAAGGTTCATCAACAGATATTTAAGTAAACAAATAGCCCGGCAGAATTAATTTTGAGGGAAATAATTATAACTCATGAAGGGAAATGTTACCAGCATAGTTGGCCATGTTACTTAGGCCAAGTCAAACAGATCACTCTCAACCTTACCAGAAAAAAGAAGCAGGAACTCGCAAGCCAGAAGTGCCTTCCTCCATGGCCATATATATTGAAGTCTTCTGCTGAGAGTCTCGCATCAGGATAACGGATTTCCAGCGTTCCCTGAAAGATTAGTAAGAGCAGCATAAAGGGTTAACTGGAGCAGGAAAACTTACAGGCATAGTCCCATTTTGAACATGAAATGCTGAGGAGGAAAAGCACTTGGTCTAATTAGGAAATTAGTTCTTTCCATTACACTCTGAGACTTCTGAGCCAATTCAGAAATGCCAAAGTTATCAAAGGCCTTTTCATCGTTATTGTTGTGAAGAAAGTATGCTAGTTTCAGGGGGAAATTCCCAGTGTGGTGGCAGAGATGACTGGGATTCTAATGTATATTAAAGTAACATTTGGGGGCAACCTTTTTCTAAAAAGAAAAAAGACTTGAGGTCTCTTAGAAATAAAATGTTCACAAATTAAAATTAAAACCCACATATAGAATAACATACACCCCCCTACGTGTTACGTAAACACAACTTCAGAATTATTTGGGAATTATTTATTTGTTGAAAAGGTGATACAGATAATTATAAAGAATTAGGAACTATGACCCAGGAACACCAAAACGCTAAAACACAACAGCTCCAACTATATGTGCAACGAGAATCATGCATGACAGGATAGTCATTTCCCTCTGCTTTTTTAAGTTAAGCTACAAGCTACTACCCATGTATTTATTTTATTTATATCCTGCCTTTCCTCCAGTATAGGCACTCAAAGCAGCTACCAAGGACACACAGTCTATCCCATGCTTGTCTATGGATCTTTCCTGATCCCAAAGCCCCAGGGCTTCCTGTCAACCCACTACTGAGTGGTCCTAATAACCCACACCTTCCATGTCTAAAATTTCTTCTCATTTTATATGTCCGCCCCCACCACATACGACTATGGTTCACACTCCTGACACACACTAAGATGTCCTCTGAGGCTTTTTTCACATCTTCTCTTATAATTAACTTTTTTTTATCAGTCATATAACCAACTCTAGCATTACTTAATCAGGAGGAGTGCCTGGCTGTATTTGAGATAATGTTCCCTAAAACTGGGGTGGGAAATATGTTTGTTGCTGCTGGAATGGAGCTGCTATTATCACTTCACACTGGCTCTGCTGGCTAAGACTAATGCATCAGATGGGGATCCGCATGTTCCCCATAACAGGCAAGGAGAAATCAAGTGAAACTGCCTCATGTGATAATTTCAGGCAAACTTGACAGAGAGTAAATTCCTGTGGCATGTACTATTGGGACTAATTCTTTCCTAAGCATGCTTGCCCATGTCCAGACATCCAGTGTGATTTAGCAGTCAGAGCCCACCGCTGGGTCTGGACAGGATTTAGTCTCCCTTGATCCATGAAACTCAATGGTCTACTCTACACCTTGGACCGCTCACCCACTCTCAACCAGTCCTGCCTCGCAAGGTTGTTGGAAGGATAAAATGAAGAGGGGAACCACAAGCATTCCTCTTGAGCTGATAGGTGGAATGGTGGGGCAGAAATGTGATTAATAAATAAATTAAAATGCTCAGGCTGTGGCAATCTATTTCCTGCCAAGTATCAGTTCCAGCATTCCTGCCGCTACACTGTCTGCAACCTTTTCTAGGATTGGAAAAGCAAACCTAACATCAATTATGAAGTTGGTTGTTGTTTTGTGCCTTCAAGTCAGAACTAACTTCGTTTCGTTTAGTCGTTTAGTCGTGTCCGACTCTTCGTGACCCCATGGACCAGAGCACGCCAGGCCCTCCTATCTTCCACTGCCTCTCGGAGTTGGGTCAGATTCATGTTGGTTGCTTTGGTGACACTGTCCAACCATCTCATCCTCTGTTGTCCCATTCTCCTCTTGCCATGGATTGCTGCCTTGTCGTGGCGAAGGAGCTTGAGCAACTCAGAGAAGCTATGGGCTATGCCGTGCAGGGACACCCAAGACGGACAGGTCATAGTGGAGAGTTCCGACTAAACGCAATCCACCTGGAGTAGGAACCGGCAATTCCACTCCAGTATCTTTGCCAAGAAAACCCCGTGATCAGAACTGACTTATAGCGACCCTAATAGGGCTTTCAGGGTGACTGATATTTAAAGAGCATTTCAACAATTCTACACTCCAAGCGAGCTTCCATGGCTGAGCAAGGGTTCGAACCTAAGCTTTCTGATTCCTAGTCCATCACGTTATTCACTACACCACACTGGGTATCAAATGAAGAATTTACTTGAAGGCAAAAGTAATAAGATATATCTCTATACAGCGAAGAAAGGAGCCACTGATGATGCATGGGCAATTATAGACTGTTTTAAAGTAAGACATTTATTTTAAATATTAATCTTTCTGCATGTAACGTGGTAGCTATAAGGTAGTTATCTTTCTCTGAAAGACATCAAACCAGCAGACAAAAACACTCCTGACCACACTGAGTCATGTGAGTGACAAAGCTGATAGTGAAGGAGAGCCTTCTAGCAACATACAAATGCTGCATTGTTTGGATCCAGTTAATGTATCAAAACTATAAAAATGGCTCAGAAAGTCTCCAGAAAGAGCCACTTTTAGGAGGTGCATTAGAAGGGTAACATACCCCACCTTTTTTGCAAACCAATTCCCAGAATTTTCCACAACTTCCCAGAGTTCCAGCTCACTATCGGACACCTATGTTTCTGTCATGTGGACTGAGACCTGTCTCAAGTCTTGCCTCCCGTTTAAAAGGAAAAGTGCTGTAGTGTTTCCTGGAAAGCCTGTGTGGGTCTTTGTGGGAAGTGTGCTTCTTTGAGAAGAGCCTTCTATAGAGCTTAATGTGCAGTGAGACTATATTCCTCACATACACCCAGGCTTCTCAGAAAGCACTTTTTAAACAGAAAGCCAGGCCCGAGTAGGCCATAGATGAGGTGAACGAAAGACACATATTTATATGTGTCTACAGGTCTGTGGCCTGCAACAACCCAGGATTCTGCCTGGGGAATTCTTGGAAAATTCTGGGAGCTAACATCCAAAACAACAACAAACAAAAAACCCCAAAAGAATGGCACATCCTGTTCTGCATTTTATTGTTTCAAATCTTTACATGACTTGGGGAAGTTTTGCTTCAAGACACAGGAACAGAAATATTGCCAAAAATCCTCCTGTATAAGCTATGCAAATAGTGTAACTTCTGGAGGGAAATTGCTCCAAGATAAGAAATCACTGTACACGTTACCAGCTGCACGCTGAGTCAGGCCACTCAGTAGGCAATTGGTAGTGTCTAAAGTGATTTCTTAACGTATGGCAATCTCCCCCAAAAAGTTATGCCATCTGTGCTATCCTAGTATAACTCAGCAAAAGGATCTGAGCCATTAAAAATAAAGAATCATTTGCGAGTCAGAAATTCTTATCCTCTTGCAAATCACTCAAATATCTCCCAAATTCTTCTTCTGTTGACCTCTGACCCCAGATGTACCTGCTTATGCTATGCTGAGAAGGGACCTCTCCCCTCTGAAGTCACTGTAGAATGCTACAACTTCCCTGCCAAGCACTTTTCTCTTTTACTACCAAAATAAACTATCAAAAAATAATTTCTACACAAAACAGGCCACCTTCTCTTGAGAATATGAACCAGACAGACAGGTGCTTCTGCCTCTCCAGTGCTTACCTGGGTGACGGAGTAAGCCAATGACAGCACTGTGGTGATAGCTAATACACGCTTGACACTAGATTTGCTCTCCAGATGACCTTAATGCAATAGAGAACATACCATGAGTTAGTTCCCTCACAAAGTAAGATGGCAAGTCTTGTATCAGTGACTAAACACTAAAGGTATACTTGTTTCTCCCATCATTTCTGAGTTTCTGTCTTTTTGACTCAGGAACCCAGACTCAGTCTCAAACCATTCATGATCTTGGAACTGCAATTTCCTTCTACTTTATGAAACATAGCACTGACTTTTCCTTCCAATGTAGCTAAAGAATTCAGTCCTTTTGGTCTTGCATGGGAACATACGTGGCCTTCCAGATATCATTGGACCGTATCTTGCCCTCACCAATCTCTCACAATTGGTTATCCTGGTAGGCTGCTGTCCAACAACATTGGGATGACCAGATGTTCTCCACTTTTGTTTCCAGGTATGTGAGCTGCTTGAAAGAATACCGCTAGTGACATGGAAGGGAGAAAAACAGGAAGCGATCAGGGTGGAGTGCCATTGCCCTTATATCCATTTATGGGCTTTCTCAAAAGCATCTGATCCCTAGTGATAATGCTGGAGATCGTGACTTGATATGATCTGGTAGGTCTCATGTAATGTTCTATAGAACATTCAGGTTTCCCTTTTAACTGCTCCAAACAAGCCTCAGCAGGCAGATGCAGGAATTTACATTAAGTCCAGTTTATCTACACATGATTTTAAGCAAATTCAGTACTTTATACTTCAAGGCTTCATTCAGCCACCTACACTACCAAGGAAGTCTTTCTTCAACTCCCTCCTAGTTTGGGAAGGAAGGGATTGGATCAGGACCAAGCAATCCAAATACTGATGTTGGGACTTCGGAAGCATTGGGCCATTGTTCAGCAATGTGTCTTGTCTTCTATCCAAATAAATCCAAACAGCCACACAGGAAGGATGCAATAAGAATTTGCCAAATAACAGTGGAACTACCTGTACCAGGAGCATTGGACCACTTTCAAAAACAATGGCCCAATGTCAAACTGCCTTCTCTCCGCCTGCAAAATTTCTTTGTGAGCACTGTGCATTTTCCTGAACCATGTCAATAGTCATAGTAGTAGGCATCCTTCAGTCTCGAGAGACTATGGTAATGTGCTCTGTATGGAGGACTTGGAACAGCGTCCGGTGTGACTGGGGAGGCCAATTCGAGAGTGACAATCCCTTCCACACTGAAGACAAATCCAATCTGTCCCCTGTCCAGCTCCCTGGTTTTGCTGCTTTTGTGACTTCCTCTTTGCCTCGGCCTGCTGGACAAGGGTCTCTTCAAATTGGGAGAGGCCGTGATGCACCGCCTGCCTCCAGGCTGAACGCTCAGATGTCAGAGTTTCCCATCTGTTGGGGTCTATTCCTAAGGCCATCAGATTCCGCTTGCAGATGTCCTTGCATCGCAGCTGTGGTCTCCCTCTGGGGCGATTTTCCTGCACTAATTCTCCATACAGGAGATCCGACCATCAGCCATTCTCACGACATGCCCAAGCCAACGTAGTCAATAGTGGCCACTGATAAAAGGCAAGAAACCCTACTATATAAAATAAACATGCAGTTTGAACAAGACATATAGATTAAGGGAAGGAAGGGAGGGCCACTATGGGATACTTCTGGGGCCAGAACTTGCAACTTTTTTCTAAAGTAATATGTTAACCATTACTTTTTTTAACGAGATAATGTGCACATCACAGAACACATCCTGTCATCAACAAAGGAACCATCTGATTGCAATGATGAGTTCTGCTGAAAACTGGGACAGGTGGGCACTCAGGAGCTTGGAGAGGAGAAGCATAGCCTTTCAAGTAATACTAAAAGACAGTATTTACACTAGTCCAGGTGACACAGTCCTAGACACAGATAATAAAATATAATTGTGTGCCATCAAGTCAACTATGCTTTTCAGGGTCTTTTAGGTGGACAGTACTCAGAAGTGGTTTATCATCCCCTAAACACATCAGTGGATTCCCAGTGAGGTGTAGTGGATAGAGGTACAGATCAAGACTCTGAAGAACAGGATTCAAATCCCCACTAGGTAGGCCATGGAAACTCACTGGGGGAGTGAAACTGGTAAAACTACTCCTTAAATATCTCACTTACCTTGAAAGCCCTATTACAGTCGCTCTAAGTCGGTTCTGACTTGACAGCACAGAACAACAGCAGGCATGCTAGTGTTTTGCCATTTTTAAGACAGGAAGGCTGCCCTGTCTTAAAAATGGCAAAAATAGCAATCCCAGACATTATGGCTGTGCAGCCAGTTAGCGCAGACAAGGATCTGAGATGCTGGACTCAATCTTCGATCAACTCACCTGGTTAAGCTCACTAGGTAGCCCTGAGCTCCTTGAAGGAAGTACAACACAGAAATGTTGTACAAGCAAAAAATACAGTGGAGGAGATTTCTGTCCAAAGGAATGAAGCATTTTTTTATTAAAAACAAAACCAAGAGGTGATTGGATTACTGCTGACGTGATAACTGCTACTGAACAGGTGGTCACATCCCCACGGTTTGGAGACAATTTTATTGCAGCACCGTTTATTTGTTGTAAGGATTAATGGTATTTTATTGTGGAATTTATTTATGTTTTGCAAGTTGGACACTTTTTAATGTAAAGGCAAATATACCTGTAACAAGTATTGAAATGAGATAGATCGACTCTCTTTTGGAAGGTTATCTTTAGTAAATGCATTCAGACCTCCTTGCAACAAGCAGATAAGCAGTCTGCAGTGTACCTGTTATCTAGAAATGTTAGCTTTATAAATTTTAAAAAAGTATATACATGCACAAACAAATGTCGCTTTTCTAGTGTGACTGCCATGAGGGGGGGAAAGAACGCTGAACTGTGCATCCAGCAGAAGCAGATGGAGAGTGTAAGCAGCGTACAAACAGCATGAGCATTACCCATGTCTGGCTGAAGTCCTGTTTGTGCTTGGTAGGACTTGGTCTAAAAGCAGGGCCCATTTACCACACTGCAAACGTCTCACCAAGGAAAGGGTGAGGTTGTAAGGTACAGATGAAGTAACCCAAAGGAAGAATCCTTACCAAATGCAAGGCCCAAGATCACCATGCTCAGCTCAATGGCCAGAAGGAAAAATCTTGTGATTTCCCAGAGGATCTGGAGAAGACAATACAAGCCAGAGAAGGGGTAAAGAGAATCTGACATGGTGATGCTTCCACTTCATCAGAAAGCTCACAAAGAAGAGAAAATCCTTCTTCATATCTCTTTTCCTAGACTAATGCATGGATGCTCACATGCATTTTCAAGAGTACAACACTTGACAAGATGTGCACAAACTCAACTAGCACTGTTCTCATCCACATGTCACCGCTGTGATATAACATCTGGTTCTTTCCATTTCTGAGTGCAATTATCACACCAGACTTTAATACCCTAGGTACCTCTATGCACCTTCCTAAGAGGAGGAAAAAAACAACACTGTGCAGACCAAGATATAGAGGTGCTACAGTTTGGAGTTACCTTAGCATACCAGTGATGGAAAATTGTTTTTTAAATAGATTACACACAATCCTGGCAGGAGTACAGAAACACACGACACACAAAGCAATTAGAACAAAACAGAAGTGAATACTACGCATTCATCCGTGCTGTCTGCTCTTTACACACGGAAATTCAATCAGATCACAATGGAACTCAACTTTTTTTCACTTCAGAAGACAGGTGTTCCAATCTATGTGCACAGTAATTAATATGGTCTCTTCTTTTCTTTGTATATAGAAAGGCTATCAGAAGAAGCGTGTGGTTCAGAACCATCACCATCGTTTCCCATTTTAATCTCGAGACTTACAGCCCATCTCACCTTGTCTGTAACTGTAGCAGCGGCAGAGGCACTCACTGTCATGGAGACAACGGCCCGAGCAATACCAACCACTGCCACCACAAACACCTAAAACACAATGGGACAAAATTGAGAAAGGGAGCTGTTAAAGCTTACTAAAGTAGAGGCTAGCAATTTTATTTAAATTATTAAATCAAGGAGACCTAATATCTAGTGGTATTTCATGTGTGAGATCAACAGACTAACCACAGAGACCCTATTAATCCTAAATCAGAAAAAAACAGGTTACCTCAAAGAAATCCTGTTATATTAGTATAGGTCCACAGCCTACAGAAAACCTTTATGGACAAAACATTTTCAGTGCTCCAAAGGAAGACAGCTATTGGTTTCTCTCTTCAATACTAGCTTCAATATTACTTCTGTTCTACTATATATATTTTACATACCACACAAAAACCTAAATGTATATAAGCAGGTAAGACTAAAGGATAATCAAAATAAGAAACTTCAGAGTGAAGGCAGCCTCCACAACCCATTTGTTGAAGAGTGGAAATTGTTTAAAGCAGGAAATCCTCTCCAAAGACTCAAAAATATAGTCTCATAAGAGTGAAATTCCATTTGTGGGAATATTTGGAATAGTGTGTAGAACTAAGCTGGGGAACCCATAGCCAGCCCTTCAGCTGTTATTGGACTCCTATTAGTCCCAGGTAGAATGGCCAATCATCAAGAATGACGGGACTTGTAACACACATCCAGAGAGATTGCAGGTTCCATTCCACCAACACTCATGTTCTCATTAGAGATGGAAATATGTGTCAAAGGCCAACTGGAACAGCCAATATTTGGTTATACAGTGTCAGACAAAAGAGAACAGTGAGTAGGCATTCCCTACACAAAGAGCTTTTTAAAGCTTCAACGAAGAGTTTCCTTTCATCACGAGGGACAATATGACTCCAGAATGTCATGAAATTAAGTAGTTCACTGTAAAAGTCTTCCTTCAGTTGTTTCGCTAATCTTTTTCTGAAGCCATGTACAGTGGTGCCTCGCTTAGCGATTGCTCCGTTGAGTGATGAAATCGCATAGCAACTGAGTTTTTGCAATCGCAAAAGCGATCGCTTTGCAATGGTCCTTATGGTTTTTTCGCTTTGCAATGATCGTGGGGAAGCGATCATGGCAAAGCAACCCTTTTTTAACAGCTGATCGGCAGTTTCAAAATGGCCGCCAGGAAAACAAAATGGCCACCCGCTGTGTTTCCTCGCTTTAGAGGCACCGAAAATGGCCACCCCTATGGAGGATCTTCGCTTAAAGGTTAGTTTTTAGCCCATAGGAACACATTAATCGCGTTTTAATGCATTTCTATGGGCTTTTTAATATCGCTTAGCAATGAAATCGCTTAGCAACATTTTTTCCGGAACGGATTAACATCGCTAAGCGAGGCACCATTGTATATAAGCAGCAATACCTCTCTCTCTGTGTGTGTGTGTGTGTAGGATTTCTGAGTACAGGTGATTCAATCTGTTGTAGCTGACAAGAGTTTGGGAGGAGGATGCGTAGAGGAAATCTGAAGGCAGCGGGGAAAGAAGCATACTGTAGTTATATCTACCTCACTGTGCTTAAAAGTAAAAATAGATAAAACTTCTGCTTCTGTCCCAGCTGTCTTCAAATTTCCTCTGTGCATCCACCTCCCAAACTTTCATTTAAATCTGTAGTATAGGCAACAATTCTGTGAGGAGAAAATGGAGAAGGGCAGGAAATGTGGACAATTGGCACCAAGTTAGACAGCAATTTTATTTATTTATAATATTTTTACCCTGCCTTCTTCCTTAAAAAGGCGCCAAGGCAGCTTACATCCTTAACAGACAATATTAAAAGAAGAACAATGAGTATAAATCTGCAGCTTACATTATTAAAAGACAATATTAACTTAACGGACAATATTAAAGGAAGAACAATGAGCATAAATCTGCAGCTTACATTATTAAAACACAATATTAAAGCTAATACACTAAGTATGCAAATACTAAAAATGAACAAATACCACCAGCACTTTGCAGTGTGTCCAGAAACTAATCGGCAGCCAGTGGCAAATACCACCAGCACTTTGAATTGTGTCCAGAAACTAATCGGCAGCCAGTGGAGCTGCTGTAACAGGGGGTTTATTGTGATCCCTGTAACCAGCCCCAGTCAGCAATTTGGTCGCTAATTCCAGCTGCCAGGCCCAACCAGAGCAGCCTTTAGACCTGGTGAATCAAGGGATGAATAATGAGACAACACATGTAAATCCCACTGCTCCAGCTGAGACAGCCAAACAGGTTCACTTGCAATGTATACCACTGCACACATCAAAACCCTGCCTATGGAAAAATTAATACTAAGACAATCTACATCATTGGAGAGTGCACTATTCTTTAGTGTGTTCTTCCATAATGTTAGGTTTCCAGATTCCTTTAAAACCGGGGGGGGGGGGG